TGTCTCTCTTTCTCTCTCCCTCCCTCCCTCTCTCGGATCCCATCACACTATTCATGACAGCTGTCCTAACAATGAATTTTCTGACCCTAGGGCTTGTTCTCTCACTCTGTTTTCTAGAATTTAAGCTCTCAAATGCCCCAAATCCTCCCTAGACTGTGGACTGCCAAAGGGCAGGGCTGTCTAGAGCTTTAAAAAGTCACCAGTCAAGTTGTTGTCTTCTGCCAAGTACACCTGGGCCACAGGGAGGCCAGTTGTGGCTCAGAAGCTCTTTCATGGAGCCTAGCAGTTGGACTAACAGACCACATCTTTAATGGCAAATTGTTTCCCCTCACCTAGAAGGGAAAAAGCCAGCTGCTTCTTCTGTAGTTGAACAATGAAGGCCCCATCAATATATGGTAGGAGATGCATCATGATGGCTCTGTGTCTCTAGAGCTTGAACAGCATGGTGGCTCTGTCCTTGTTACTAGAGATGCAAGGGTAAGGTGGTTCTGGCCCTTTCTGGCAGTGAAACATGAGTCTCACAAGCTCCAGAGAGATCTGTAGTGTGTCATTCATGGGCATGGTGAGGGATTACTATATACTCATGGAGCTTCTGTACTGGGTCCAGGAAGTTTCCAATGTCCATGAGTTGCCCTGATTGTTTAGAATTGGCATTGGGCAGAGGGCAGAGACCAGGAGACATCAGTGAGGGTGAGAGCAGCAAGCTCTAAGAACCTGGTCACAGAGAGGAATGCCAAGGCCTCTGATAGAGTGGTGTAGCTTGCTAGAGAGTCAGCAGTCCACAGAGCATGTGCTTCTGAGACAAGGGAACAGCCAGTGTTTAATCCCCACTCCTGAGGGAAGAGCAGGCCTTCCCAGGACTGGCCTAGGAGTGTCCCTCTTATGAGTTCCTTCTAGCACTAGACTTTCTTCTTTTGCAGGGTCCCCTCCTGCATGGTTACTACAGTGGCTAAAGCTTCATGCATGTTCATTCCGAATGGCAGGGATTCGGTGTCTTGGAGCTCAAGCCCATCTTCCCAGCAGGTTTCTGTCTGCCTCACCCTCGAGTCCCTTGGTAGACAGCTTGACATGACTCCCCACAGAATGCTTTCTAACTCCAGACACGAAGTTCCTCAGAATGTTTTTATTGTCAGTTGATCAGCATGATCACGGCATGCTGAAGGAGACGCTGAAGGTGAGAGGACTGGTTCCCACCACAACACAGCAGCCTGCTGAGCTGAATCTAGTGCAGGGCATAAAGATGGAGCTTAGCTAGATTTTCTTACTTCCTTTGACCTCTGTCACCAGCCCATGACTTTTCTTTTTACCTGGCAAGGGGGGGGCGGAGGGTTATGTAGCTCAGGCTAGCTCAAAGTCACTGTGTAGTTGAGGATGACTTGAACTCCCCATCCCTTGCCTCCACCTCTGGAACTAAACACACCTGGTCTAACCTTGAGATACTGCTGACAATGGGCATATAATATAGAAAGAACATGTGGCTCTGTTGTTTTCACTGCTTTAGCAGTCTGGCTAAAACTTGGGTTCTGGGTTCAAAACATAGAGAGAGGTGTTAGAATACAGACCAAACTATGTCTCAGGCTCCTGCAGCCTCACTCTTGTTTCTGTGGAAGACATGACAAGCTCCCTACGAAGAGCCTGACTGGGAATCCATGGTGCCTGGATGTCAGAATGGCTGCTGCCATTTTTATTTTCCCAAGGAAATGTACAGGCTCAGACTGCCTGACTCCGGAGATCAGAGAGCTAACTTTATAATGGGCATAGCCACATGTGCTCATCTTCCTCCATATCTTCAGTCAGGAATTCTCCAATTCAGAACGCTGCTCCTCTCATCCTGCCACCAAGGGACAGCCTCACTGCAGCCTCATGCTATGACTATTTATTAACTGCGTGGTATAAAATGTCCTTTTCCTTAGACCTACAAGGAAACCCCACTCTGCCTAGAGGGCCTGAATTCTCATCAGAGCCCTTAGCATGCTGTTCACTTATACATTGGAGCCTACCCTGTAACCAGAGTTCCCGCTATATATCTGTGTGCTCATGGCTTTAATGACACTAATAAGTCTCTTACTCAAAAGGACAAACCTCAGTGTCCTCGTTTAGCCCAAACCCCAAACCATCAGAAAGTATGCTTCTGTTGGGATAATAGAAAGGATAGGCCCAAAATCATGGAGAGGATATCAGTGAAGGACCATGAAAGCAGTTCATTAGCTTTCTAATCAGGACTCCCAGGGTTTCCTCATCAGCTACACAAGGCATTGTCTCCATGAAGGCTCATGACGTTCACTGCAGATGCACCTTGGCAGAGCTTTCAGTCTAGTGAGTGCAAAGGGAGCAGAACCACCATCTTTCCAAAGTTAGGGCTCTGACAGCTGCAACTGAGGCCAGGTGACGCCTCTGAAATATCACAGCCATGTTGGGGGCTGAGACTTGCTGTTGTATGTCTGCTCTGCAAAATCTTTTCTCTGATAACCCAGGGCGGGGTGGTAAGTGGAGCATTGCAGTGGAGGGAAGAGGAGGCAGGAGACTCTTGTAGTCCACATTTACAGGCTGATGATCACCTCGAAGGGAACCTGGGAGGAGCAATGGAGACTTGAGCAGAGAGACATCCAGGGCAAATATAAAACAGTCCAGGTCAGGACAGTAGAAGGCCTACAAGTAGACTACCCTTTGCCTGGCCACCTCCGCCAAGCTGGGGGCTAGCAGCTGTGGACTGTCAGCTTTGCATGTCAGCATGCTACCTCACAGATAATCAGGAGGAGCACGGTTCTTCTGCCCCACAAATAACACAGTTCTTGATCATCCATTTCTCTTGGTACTTGCCTGCAGTTTCCAGGGTTATAGATCTTTGCTCTAATCATATCACTGTAGAAAAACACAGTGGCTCCTGATGCAGAGACAAGTTTTAGTGGCCTTGATCAAACACCAAGGCTATTCACAGCTTGGCCTTCTCCTACACTGAAACCCCAATTGTGCAACGAGCAGCAGATATACCCCATGCCACCTAAGATTCGAAGTGAATGTGAATTTGATCACCGTTGACAGCAGCACTTTGTGAACCTCCCCATAACTCCCCTGTGACTCAATCTCACTTTAAGGGAGTGGACAGAGCCACTATGGAGCCACCAGGAGGTTTTGTCTGCCTGCCTTTTGGGGTCCTCACTCTGAAACATCTAACAACTTACTTTTCTTTGGGGTGCTGGCCTGAGCCTATGTATGCTTTCTCAGGTACTTTGGACTGTTTCACAATTTCTCTGAAGCTACCTCCCTTTTGCCAGGTAGCTGGCTTGCTGAGCTTCCATGTCAAACTAAAAGGTTATGCTTTCTCTCTTCTCCATCTCCCCCCTGTGGCTTCTGTCAAGATGTTCAGCTTCCCTGCTCAGTGGCTTTTCTTTTAAATGCTAATAAAATTGTCCTCCAGCTTAAAAAAATACAATATACTTAAAAATCAGACACAGTCCCTGTACTTATGAAGGCATCACTTCAAAGCCTGTACGAATTTCACTTTCTGAGACTTCTAGAACATCCTAGGGGTTGTATATGGGGGGGGGGGTGACACCTGCAGTACTGCTTATTCCAAGTGTGGGCTTAGCTGGACTGTGAGTCTGTTGACCAAACCACCAAACAGTCTGCAGTTCTTATTCTTTCTTGTTTTTCTCCAACTTTAGCACCATCATAGGTGTCCGTCTGGCCATGTCTGCACTGACAAGAGAGCCACACCTAAAGAGAATAATCTTGTACGTCTGTTGCTATGAGGTCATCTGATAGCAAGTGGTTTGGCCTTTAGGACTGGAATTCACTCCTAGGTCAGCCATCCAAGGGTGGCAAAAGGAGGAGGGATGAAGTAAACAGTGACATTACGCAAGCCCCATTTGTGTTGTTTTCTCCCTAGCTGGCGAGCATACTACCTGACTCAAGCCAGCATCTCTCACATGATCTCAGATTCATGGAGCTGGGTATGGAGCACACAAAGAATTCTGTGACCTTCTAGTAAATTTCATCTGTGTTCCAGTGGGAGGAACAGAATGTGCAAATATCAAATTATATTTATTTTGAAAGTAATGATTTCTAGATGATGTGATTATCTGTGGACTGCGATTATTTTAAATTTTAGAAACTAGCCACAGGCTCACTGTACAAGCCAATCCTAACAAAAGAACTGGAGGAAGCAAAAATTCCACTTGGAAAATCATTTTATTGGTATAAATATACATATGAATAAAATACTTTCAGCCTGTAACGTAAGTGAATATCTGTGAGATGTTTTATAAAGAGTAGTATTTAGACATCTTTTTCTTTTTTACAGGTGCCAAAATTTTCTCTTAAAAACCACACATTAATAGCTAATAAGCAGACAGAAATTAAAGGCCTTCAAAAACATGAATATTCTAAGACCTCATTCCAATCGACTATATACACGAATCCGGGCTTCTCACACTGTGTTCTTAGCTGTGCTTGCTGATGGTCTTCGAAGGTTACCAACCAAGCTTTAAATGTACAATTTTCCATGGGGAAGGAAGTGCCCCTACAGAAGCATGAAGAACAATGCCCAAGATCTAATATATATAATTTATACAAATTATTTATTAGTGTGCTCTGTTAATATTACAATGTGCAATTGCATACATCAAGAATAAATTGCTATATCGAGTCATGTGTAGGTCTGACACAAATACACCCTGCAGTGCCCCCAGGGTTTCCTGTATAGTTGCTTATATGTGAGTCCAGTTACTTCATTAATTTCCAAAAAATACCATGCAGGGCAATGTGTAGCTGCCTCAGAGAAATTCAAGTAGGGCCCGTGGAATAATTGCTGGCTTTTTGTTGAAGGCATAAGAAACAATGTTTAGAAATCAAGTGGGGAAAGACCAAAAATGTGCTTTGATAACCAAAAAGTGGACAATGAGAAAGCACCAGAGAAGGGAGAAGACGCACTGCCCGTGGCTCCTCTCTGAGGGCTGAGGAGAGCACCCTGCATGGGAAGGCTTGGGGTGGGCACCCCCACACAAAAATAAACTCTTTTTCTGCCTCTTCTCCAGAGTCACTGGATTTGCTCCCTTGGTGACCATCTTTGCCAGAGGACTGTTGTTTTTGTTCTTGATACTCCTGAGCCTGTGGACCCCAGCTTCTCCTTGAGACTGAAATCAGAAGGTAAAGAAGAGGAATAGTTTATTGACAAGGCAATAACAGGACCTGGCCAACAGTGGGGTGAGGAACCCTGAGAAGTGGGGGAGGGAAGTGGTCATGGTGGACTTATTCAGAAACAAACCAACCACTGTACTTAAGGGACTCTCTGGACAGAAGTCAAGGACAAGCCAATGAAACCACAAGGAGGTGGACATAAGCAAACACGCATGCGCAAGACCAGCCTATGATGGGGTGAACCCAGCATAGATGTCGACGAGAACTGGAGGTAGAGGTGTAGACAAGCAGAAGGAGAAGCCAGGAGGGGTCAACAGGCTGCTGAGCCAGGTGACCTCCACAGCCAAGGCTGCCCCTTTACACAGCACAGAGGACAGGACACGCAGAGGCTTGCAGAGGTGCTGGCTGGACAAGGTTCCAATGCCATGCCTTCTGCAGATGACTGAAAGCTGGTTATTCCTGCCACGGGGGAAGGACGTCAGACAGATCTGTCTTTCTGTGCCTCAGACCATCTGTGCTTCACTCCCTACAGATAAAGTCTGTGACAAAGAATTAAATAATGCCTGTGACAGCTTCAACCCTGCAGGTAAAGTACCTACTCCTGCTGCCTGTTCGGACTGGTAACAGGCAAACTGGAAGGGTTCACAGAGACAGCTGACCTAGACTTTTGTCGTGCATCTCTGATGTTCTTCCTAGCCACACAGGTAGCTTTGGGCTATTTTTTTCTCTTTAAAGCCCATGTTCTTTCTGTCTACATCCTGGTTCCTCTGCCACCACACCCGGGAAAGATTCAGTTCAGAGGCTAAACTCCAGTGATATGAGTCCCAAGCCTACTGAAGAGATGCCATCTGAGCTAAAAATACCAAACCCATGCCATGTGGAAAGCTGCTTAAAGAAAAAGCACAGCTATCCTGCCATGCATATCTCAGGACTCCAACCAGGAACAGACTCTTCAGTCCTGGGAAAGACAGGGGATTCATTCATGGTCTGGTCACCTGGATGTTTACATTATGTTAAAAAAAAATCAACTCATCAGGAGCCTGCAGTTTAAATGCTTACCATTTCAAGAAGGCAGACTTTATGAAACCTCTACACAAATATCTCAAAGTTCTTTTGCAAACTTAATTGCCATGATTTGAGTCTTTCTGTTAATAACATTAAATTAAAATTACCCCAAATCCTGAAGGGGGGAGACCCACAAACAACATTTTCAATCTCATTATAAAGTCAAGTAATTAAATTATAAAGATTTGATGTGTGTGATGCATGTGTGTGCGTGCGTGCACGTGTGTGTGTGTGTGTGTGTGTGTGTGTGTGTGTGTGTGTGTGTGTATGTGTGCCAAATATAATGTGTGTGTGTGTGTGTGTGTGTGTGTGTGTGGTGGTGTGTGTTTGTGTTGGTGTGTGTGTGTGTGTGCAGTTACCCACAGAGGCTAGATTTATCATGAGCCACCTGATAATGGGTGATGGGAACCAAACTCTTGTCCTCTACAATACAGAACATATTGAACTACTTCTCCAGTCCCTTAAAATTCTGACTTCTCTGGGGCAAGTTCTCAGAGGGGGCCGGGACATAAGAAAATACAGTTGCTTTTTAAAGCTTTATTGGGAGAAAAAAAATTGCTTATGTGATTGGTACTTTGGAAGCTGTTGATAAGCCAGGCTTAAAGAAAAAAGATCAATAAAATATTTCTAAATATTTTGCTCTTAGTTACAAAATCAATTTGATGCTCATATCCAGAGTCCTTTAAACTTTCAGTCTGAGTGTGTGCTAAGAACAGGGGGAGCAGAGAAGACTTGTAATACCATCCTGAGGATACTTGACAAGAAATCAACCTCAAAAGTTAAGGGGACTGTGCTGTCTCCTAGGACTTTGTTTCTCCACAAACAGATGAATGGGAAGATATGTCTAAAGCTGCAGTGGGAGACACAAGGGAAAATAAACAGGGGCGGGGGCGCTCATCTGTCTTGAGAGAAAACATACGTGAGTCCCTAGATTAAGATAATAATCCAACTTTTCATCCTTCTCAATACTTTAACCTCCTGGAAATTCAGGCCAAATCCACTTCATATGAGATGACACAAAAATGCTTTCTAAATATTGAGACATTCATGTAGCCAAAAGTTTATGTCTTAGGTAAAAACAGAAGTAACCTTATAGATCAAGGCCACAACAGCAAACACGGGTGGAATTTAAAGGGACACAATATGGGGATCTTCTTGGAAAAGGCAGGCTGTCTTTTCATCTCCAGCAAGGCACTGACCTTCCAAGCTGATACTGGGCTTTTGAGTCCTCCAGGTTAGGGAACTGAGGGGTGGGAGTGGGGCAAAATGGAGCAGTGGGGAGGAGGGAAGAGCAGACATCACCAAGCTAATCTGCTCCTTTCTGGTTGATAACACAGTCACACTTAGCCATGAAAGTAAGAACTACCATTTAGCCAACATGGTGACTAAGAGGAAAAATATCCCAATTTCAAGAAGGCTATGAATGCCTTTTATTATGGTAAGAACATTAAAAACTGCATTCTACAATAGGGGTGGAGCCTGTGTGAACCCTTGGGGTTAAGTTCATTCCAAGCACATTCACCTTCATTGATTAAATTATGATTGCATGTGATAAAGACCCTAGTGGCAGCTGGCATGTCCTTAGCATTAGAGACAGGCAGGAAGATGCTCACCTCACACTTGAACTGAGCTCAGCACTCTATTGGTCTGCTACCCTGTTTAGTCCTGATCCTTGATGCAAACTACTTTGTGGAAAGAATGATTTTTGTTGAGTTAATTTCCAGCCCTTAGGGATAATCTACTTGATTTCATCCAATTAAGATGCTAATTACTATTGTATGAAACTCATTTTTGTCAGACTTCATTAAAGGAGGGTGTAAATACAATTATATCTGTTTGAAACTTAAAAGTTCAGAATTAATTTTTTAAAAATATTATAAAATTTAGACTTTCACTAATTACCCAGACTGATCTTCCTACACCTTGATTTAATACAAGGTAAAAAGAAAAAAAGAAAAACATTGTTTGATTAAACTTATTAAGAACACCAGGGTGTACTGGTGGAAGAGTCTATCTATCCATTACTATCCCATTTGCTATTGATGATGAAAGATATTCAAGGATATGGACTGGACAGTAACTTACTAATTGGAAGTACTGGCTTGTGTATTTACATATTGTCTGAGGTGGAAATAAGTGTTGCAGAGTCTCAAACACAAACTCTTCCATTCTTGATGGTGATTCAACTTTGCATATGTATATATGTGAATTTTGAGCTTCTGAAATACACATACAGACTTGGAGTAGAATTTCCCCATCATAAACTCCAGAGAGATATATATTTACCAAGAGAAAACAGGGCATTTCCTTAAAATAATAATCTGTAGTTGACCCTGCTTTTTAAAAATTCTTTGTAGCAATAGCTGGAAAAATCTCAAGCTACTGCTAAATTTTTCCTGAAGAATTGTGTTTGCTTTGAGATTGAGTTTTATGTTATTCTCAACTCTCTCTGTAGCTGAACAGGACCTTGAATGCTAGACCTTCCTGCCCTACCTGCCAAGTGCTGGGATAGTAGGTGTACATTAATAACAGTTCTCTGCTCTTATAGAATTCTTACACAGAAGTGGAACCTGGATCTGGATCCAGGGGAAGAAAGTTGAGCCAAGCACTAGTTCACAGACTGAGACCAGGCAAGTGTCTGTGGCTGCAGGCTGGATGATGGAAGCAGCAAGGGATACAGAAAGGTGTTTCCAGAATCAGATGATACAAATAGAAAGCTCTTCGACACTAATGAAGCCAAACAAAGGCAGCTATTTTCTTCAAGAAACAGGATATTTGCTAACAAAAATATCATCTTACAATCAGAGAGGAAAGGACATGAAATCAATCTCAAAATAGCCACACAATTAAATAATGTCAACCATAGTCATTAAATATGCACTGTGCCTTGAGAACAACAGCTGCCATTTGTTTCATGAATACAAGGCTTGAGAAATTAAGAAAGCTGGGTTAGTATCATAAGATTACTCTTAAAAGTATACACCATGATTCTGTCAATTTTTCTGCTAAATTAAAAAACTGGAAATTATTCAAACAGTAGAGGCTATGTAGTTCTCAAAGGAGGTAATGTGAGAAGAATAGGCACTAACAAAACACGACAAACATATTAGACATAAATTACTTTAATTGAAGCACCTGTGAAAATTTGGAGTTCCCTATTTCAAGAAATCAAAGTAGAAAAGCTAATACAAGATGGTCCCATTTAATCCTATCAAAATTTGACCCAACCCATCACAAGGAGAACAGTAAACTACTGAGATCGAGAGAAGGTCAAAGACACAGGGCTTCTCACTTCAGGGAGTTGGCCTATCTCTGCAAGCATCCCCTTTTACTTTACATCTTATTGGTTTACAGATGGGGTCCCAAGGGATGGGCTTCCTGTGTGCTGTGTAAGTGCTTTCAGTACTTCTTATATTTGCACCAAGGGTGCCTTATTCTTAAGATGTGACTTGTTAGTAAGTCAGTGGCTCTAATAGTTGAAAATGTAAATTTCCAGAATGTAGAAACATCCATGAACTTAATAAAACACACAAGAGATTTTGTCCTAGTAAGTCTCAAAAAATTACTCTTTTGCTCTTCACAAATGTCATAGCTGTTCACTGATGTGACTTTCTTATGACTGAAATTAAGAATTGGTTGTTGTTTTTCTAACATCAGACTGCATTTCTTAGAACTGTAAAAATAAAGATACATGTACTACACAGGGAATCAGTTGAAAGTGAAGCACAGGTATGGAATATAGCTGAGTAGTATAGAGCCTGTTAAGCAGGTATAAGGCCCTACATTCCATCCTTAGCACCATACACACCCACCACACTGATTAAAAGCAAAGGACCAATTACATTCATTTTCTCCAGGGCAGACACTACTTGGTCCAGAGAGGATGAATACTCTATCCTTACATGACTTACTGTTCTTGCTTTGTGTTGTGGGCTATGCCTTAACTTCACCCTATTATCCAACTAGTTAATATCAGAGCAACAGGCAAAGAGCCACAGGGTCTTCCTATAGCACTGGCTTGCAAGGCAAGCCCTAGATGTTCTTGCTAGTGATGAGTTGGTAGGGACTTTGTGAGCCTTACATCTGTTCCCAAGCAAATTCTCTAAAAACAAGCTTTCCCTATCACGAGGTCACACTCATCAACTTGGATTCTGGAATGCTCAGAGAAAATGAAGGTCATGGTGTTTACTACATTAGAATGCGAGCCTCATGCCTGACCTCTGGCATCTAAATACACTCACACTTGTTAACCCCTGATAAAGTTTTATGGAAGCAAAGAGTGCCACTCCAAGGGCGGATATCCTTTAAGGAGATCTCATGTAGCAGACTGCCATAGGTACATTCTTCTTCCTCTATTATGTTTTTTTTTTCTCCTTTAAATGAATTTTGTACTGTAGTCATGGGAAGGCATTTTCCCCATGTCAGTAGTGCTGGTTTTAACCCTCTTAGTGTCCCCTGGAACTGTTCTCACCTGGGGGGAATTTGCCACAGGGAATTTGCCACAGACAGAGCAGAAGGCTAGTGTTGGCAAATGCAGTGGATTGCCTCTTGAGGTGGACAAATGAACAGATGGGAAAACATCCACTGAAAGGTCATGCATGCAATTCAAGGTCAGCATTTTGCTGGGGGTTTTTGTTGATCTTTCCCTAACACAGTGTTTGGGTAACATCTTAGAGAATTTCTAGCTAGACTCCAATGGAAACTTAATGGGGGGGGGAAAGATAGAAAGGAAAAGAATGAGAAATATGACCCCCACATATAAAAATTAACTTTCATGCTCACTAAAATTTGAATAGGCAAACCTCTAAGGTAACTTGAAGCTCCCCATGATCTAGTTTTAGATTTTAATTTAATTACCACACCCTATGGAGGGACCATCCTGTTGTTACAGGGAATAAGATTTCAGTTCTATGAAGTATCTGACCCAGCCCCAACAGCAGCTACTCAATTAAAGTTCGTTTGTTAGTGCCAGTTCATCAGCTTCAGGTCAGCGAGGGATGAAAACCGAAGGCTCTAACCATTTGTTGGCTGTGACTTCCTGTACCCAGGTGCATTCACTTCCTCTTCTGCAATGGTGGAGTAGAGTTTTGAAGATCTTTTCCCTCCACTGGAAGGCTTGTCACTGTCATGATCAGAATGCCTTTTGAAATAATCTCCTCTTTGCACTACTAAGGAAAAGTGATCATTTTACCCTTTATAGTAGCAAATAGATCAATGTGTTGACATCCATGTTAAAATTACTAATATTAAAACTTAAATATCAGCTTATATCCACCCCGAGTTAGAATTCAAAGAACTTAAGAGTATTGGTCCTGGGCAGATCCACTGTTGTCTACAGAATTCAACAGCCAACATTATGGCAATGTGCAAAATGAGGTGAGTTCCAGTCTGCCCCAGAAAGGGAATAACAAAAATGCCCAGCATTATAACTTTGAGTCCATGATGGGTTAACAAAAATCACATTCACTATGGAATAATCCAGAAGAATTACAGTCATTTACCTGTTTCAGAAATTAGTTGGGCACGCTAGTCCAGAGGGAGGCAGAGAACAAGGGAATGAAGTAACCAGGATAAATAACACAACAAGAAGAGACAATAGGGACAGCTTCTGGAGAGAAAGGCGGGGCCCGTGAGTGGCTGCCATGGCTTCCACCCCCTTTGAAGACCAGCTAGTTCATAGCTGACATCAAAATCTACCCTCTCAGACACTTGAAAGCTGTGCCCAGACCTTGTATATTCTCAGCCTGACATTAGTGCAGAGTACTGTGACATGCGACTAGTTCCTTCTGGATTCAGACCGGATAGCAACTCCGGAGCTCTATAGTTTCTGTCAGCCTATGGTAGGCAAGTGTATGCAGCACCACCAGTTCTTGAGGGATGGCTCCCTTATTTGGAAATCCTCACTTTTCACAGCAGCTCTGAGCTTCCTAGTGGTGTCCTTTGTCACCTGCATTGTCAGTAGAGGCTCCAGGACACATTCCTACTCTGGATAGTTTTGGTCACCTGTCAGGTTATGTCCATCTTTTTGGCACTTGGGAACCATGCAATTGAGTTAAAAACAAAACATAACAAAAACTCTTAACTCCACAAAACCTGCTGAAAACACAATTGATTACAGTAAGCTTATCATTTTGCGTCAGGCTAGAGCCATATCCATCCTCAGCCAAACTCAGCTGCAGGTGGCCCTTGGGCTATAGACTGGACACTCATAAGCAGAAATTTACTAAACTCAACTCTCTGGCCCCCACCTGACCTGTTGTGTGTAAGTTCTTCTGCATTTCAGTTCTGCACATCATGCTTCTCCCACCCATCCGCATTAAAACACTCTTGGGCATTTTCAAAGCTTCCTAAAAGCTATGAGGCAAAGGCAGAAATGCAGACTGGAAAGACAAGAAGGGAACCAATGGGGAGGAACTGGATGGGTGACCTGGCTGTGAGGGTCTCTCAGGGTCTGAGGTTGCTTTGAACAGCACTTTTAAAGGTTTTTCTCCACACAGTGACTCATTCTAATGCTTGGGCTATGATACCAAGTACATCATCTATCCCCTAGCTGTGACATGAGAATCAATACCAGCCCCCTCTTTGGATTCTTTGACAAAAGTAGTTTACCACCTTCAGTCAAATCCCCACCTTCTTTTATCTATAAACAGTAGGAGAGACTTCCACCTACGAAACAAATGTGCAGAATGGAGACAGAAGAGCAAAGTGTTATTTATTTCTTTTTATCAGACTCCTAAGACACAAGGATAATAGGCAAACTTGTCTACTATTAGCTTCAACCCAAGACTATTGCCAAGAAAAGCAAACAGGAGATTTCAGAGCCAGAGAGGCTACAGAATTCTAAAATACAGTTAACAATCCAGCCCAAAGTACAGCAAGGGTCTGCTTGTGGGGGCTAAGAACTCTTTTATAATGCATTTCTGGTGCAGAGCCAGCACTGTGTTTCACAGGAAATGGCCATTCCCACTTCAGAGAACTGAAAGAAACACAATTTGTGCAGTGACCCTCTGGTAGTGTCTACACAGGGACCACATTTCTGAGAAGGCAGAACAATTACTCTTGACCCAGAGAGTACAATGAGTTTCGAGGTCCTTCAGGGCAGGTGGCCTGATCCTGAGCCATGGCAATGATGGCAAAGTACTACAGCACCCCTTGAACCATGGAAATGGTGACATGCCAATTAGGGGTGCTTTCCTTACAAATAATGGGACCTAGAAAATATTCAAAACTGTGTCCTAACATGCGGCAAGCCAGCTGAGAAGTGGGCTCCTGTAGAGAAGGTGGGTCTTTGACTAGGTGGCTCAGCTATACTTTTCATTCTTCATGAAGTCCTAAGGTCAGACATAATGCCAAATCAAGTGCCCACTCTGGTTCCCATATGCAACCCAAGGGATGCTGACTTGAACTCCAGGAGACTAAGTCTGGGACTATGTTCTTCCTTTTGAAATGACCCTCTCTGGGGAGAACGGAGGCAGAGGATAGATGTTCTTACCTTCCTGGGAAAAGGTCCTGGGACTGGCCTGGGGGCTGCTCTGGCCATCACGCTCCTTGTCCGAGGGGACTTTTTTGAGGATGGGTGGAAGAAGAGCAACTTTAGGGGAACTAGGACCAGATGGAGAGTCTGGGGTGTCTTCTACAGAGGTACAAAGACACAAAACAAACTGTTCTACAAACTGTTTATAAGCCAGGTGAATCTTTACAAAGAGATGATCCATAAAAAAATGAAAAGCTATCACAGAATGTTTCTAGTCAAAACTTACTTCTGCATTTCAGCTAAGGAAAGTAATTAACATTGAAGAACAATCGAGAAAAAAGGGAGTTCAATTATGAAAAGTTGACATATGTACAGATCTGAATCTATGCTGCAAATATTCAATGAGCTAATACTTGAAAATGAGACTATAAGTGAATTACAGGTTCTTTCTGCATCAGTCATAAAGTTGTTGATTGTCTTAAAACATGTACTGTATGTAACAAAATGCCTTTTCGCCATTATCAGAGCTAGTCACAACACACATGTACAAACACACACACACACACACACACCCACACACACACACACACACACACACACACATGTCCATGTACCTACATTCATGGACTCCAGTGCCCTAGGAGTAATTTGGAATCATGGACTTTTGGATCCATCAAGGACTTTGGTTCCTGGACCTACACGGAAATTAAATGATCTCCTGGGCAAAATGGGTGTGAAGATAGCCAGGATTAGGATTGCAGGCTCTTATCTGAAAGCCAGCATTGCTTTACAAAAATCAAAAGGACTCTTAATGAACTCCTTTCTTTCTCCATCAGTATGTAGGATTCAAGCAAGTGCGTGCACCTACTGTGTGTGGAAGGTAGACTCTCCTCAGTCTTACACTCTCCTTCTAGTCTCTTATTTGTGCCACCACAGAAGTAAAGCTATGATGGGACACAGTGACCCCATAAACTTTCAGAAGTGTCATGATGTGTAACTGAGAAGACACACTTGAAAATATTGCTGAATTCTCAAGCTTTATCAAAGCACCTATCAGTTTCTGATATGTTTTTGATATGCCATGTACTGAGATAAACAACATAGCTGAAGAAAGCTTGCAACAGAATAAAAGCAATCTAGCTAGCTTTACATTTGGTATCAACAACTGGGCAACCGAGATTCTCCATGAAGTAGGTCAGATGTTAGGAGTTGTTTCCCTATTTCAAACTAGAAACTCACGTAGCACAAAAAACCATGAAGCCTCTGTTGATGACTTTTCTGCTTTTCATTTACTTAATCTGTTTTCGATGTGTCTCATCCTGCAGCCCAGGCTGGCCTAGAACTTACTACACAGCCCAGGTTAACTACAAACTCATGGCAATTCTCCTGCCTCAACTTGTCAATTGTCAAGAGGAAGGTGATGATAATGGTGAGGATGAAGATGCCAAAGGTCTGGCTGTATGTCTACCCTCTTTGCTGATCTTTCTGGGGAAATACAGAGAAGAGGTGAAGAGCTGAAAGAGGTCCATCATTTCATGACATGTACTCATTCAACTTGGGATGTTTTGAAAACTCTTACAATATTTTTTAAAGAAGACCTGATAGAGACATTTTTTTTTTTTTGCATAAGAAAATAAGACAGAACCCAACCCATTCCTAGTATTTTAAAGTTTCTTCAGTAAGACTTTCCACTTTAAGTTAGCAAACACCTTTATATCTGGCCAAAGGCTAAGTCTCTTGGACTGTGAAGCTGTGAAGACCTTGGCTGTACCTAGCACATCCGGCCACATCGGCAATGCACCCGTAGAAGATTTGCATGGAGGAAACCTTATTTCAAACCAGGCCCACAGTTTGCCACATTCTGTTTTACACCTCTGATAGACTTCAGGATATGGTATACAACCTCTCAAGCCTGTGCTGCTCCTAGGCCTTTTTGTCTTTAGACTGGTCTTTCTCATTGCCTGAATACCCTGGAGACTGGTTTCAGATACCAGCCTCTGCTGATGGTTCAGCCTGTCCAGGCTGCTTTTCCTGACAGGCAGGCAGTCTCAGGTTCCTCCTCTTGTATATGGAGGGCCTTTGTTTGACTCTCTCAGCCCTCTCCAGATCCCAGCTCCTTCACATTTCAAGTGTTTTCCAGTTCCAACTTCCTATTCTCCACCCATCTTTTTTCCTCCACATTCTATCTACTCTTGAGGCCACCTGTGGGGACAGCTAGGCCCAGCCTGACTCCCAGACCACTAATGCCCTTACCAGGTCGGGAGGCAGTTCTTGGCTTCTGAGGGATGGAGGGCCGGGCTCCTGGGCTGGGCTTGGGGGACTGCAGGAGGGGCTTCGGACTGGTGGGCACGCTGGAGGAGCTTCGAGACCTGTAGCCCCCATCCACTCTGGGTTCTGCTTTGGCATTCTTTTCTGGTGTTCCCAAACCAAAGCGGGCCTCTGGAGCACCTGGGTGCAGTTTGGGCACTAAAATGAGAAGTGGGCCAAAAACCATTTTAAACATCAAAAGTCAAAGAAACTAATCTTTCAAATATAAAAATGTGGTTCTCTCTGTGGCTATCATTCCTCATTACAGATCTTGAGAACAAAAGCATCCACTTCACTGTGCTTTTAGAGTCAACACTAGTGAAAGAGTGACTTTCTTCACAGAAAGGGATGCCTTGGTAGCACCTCTCAGAAGCATCTCACTGGTCCAGGGATTGCCAGGCAGGGGGCAGATGCTGCAGAGGGGCAGAGCTGGGGTAAAAAGAGTCTCACAAATAGCTTATGACCTCCTTCCTGCTTGTGGAGCCTGCTAGGCTGCCTGCCACTGTGGGACAGCCCACTTCATTCCTCTGTGACATGCTTGCTTTGCTAAATAAACTGCTTGATAAGTGTCTCTCAGCTAAATTCCTTCCTTCCAGAAGACAAGAACTCAGAGATCCTTGCAATGAGATAGCAAATTTTACTCTGCACCACCCACAGTTCTATATTCATATGCAAGGAGAAGCTAATTCTTCATGAATTTGAAGTCTTCAGGATCTTTCTGGGACCTGACAGGTAGGGGCAGACACACTAATAGGAAGTGTCTCAGTTCTGAACCACAACTGACCCTCTAGGGATCCGGCCACAAGTTGAGGGGAAAAGGCTGTGGTGAGGGCTATGATATCATCTCAGGGTTAAAGGTGAAAACAGCTCCTGCTGTTGGTGAAAGAGTAGGCCTCCTAACAGCCACTTACAAGTTCCTGCCAGTTTCCACCCCATGCATCTTACCTCTACTCACTACACCTACAACTGTGAGGGAACAAAGCATGAGGGATTCCATTCACAGCAGAGTCACAGGAGTACAGTATTCCCTCCTGGCAAACAAAATAACTGCCCTCCTCCAACACGTCATTCGGAATTTGCTGTTCAAAACATCACTCTATGTTCATTCACCAGAAAGCCTACAATTTTGGCATTTATCAAAAAGGAAAAGTTGGGGAAGGTAATCTTAATTTCCTCCATCTGGAAAATCAGAAAAAAATAAAATGTCCCCCCCCTAAGATCAAGGCTACATGGGTGGGGAGTAGCACCCCTGGGGGGTGGCTGGTACAGGAAGGGACTGGTACATTAGGTCAGAGGGGAGAACATGATGACTTGCTCTTCCATTTGTGTTTTTCTTGTCCAATCACAGGCAACTCCTAAAATCAGAGGGTGAATGGGTTTTCCTCAGGGCATGTGAGCAACAGCTCTGCTTACCTGTTCCGCCCGCATCTGACCGCTCTGTGTTGCTCAAGACTGGGCTGGAGGAATCCTGGGAGATGGCGTCATTGACAATCTTCTAAAAATTCAAGACCCCCCACCCCCCAAAAAAGAGCACATTTGAGATGTGAGGGAAAATAAAAAGAAACAATAAAGCAGATAATGAATGATAACAGAACATTCCTGCACTGTCACTGTTGAAGGGACCATCATAGCTATGAGGACTTGTACCCCCAAAATCCACATGAGGGGTTACAATCTACAAAGGCAAAGGAGTCCAGGTTTGTTTTTCATGAAACCTAGTTTTTGTTTTTGTTTGTTTTTATATGTTTGTGTTTGGACAACCTTTCTTTTGTTTTTAGGTTGCATCTCATTCTGTAGCCCAGGCCCCCCTAGAATTCACTTGAATGTAGTCCAGGCTTCAAACTCACAATCCTTCTTAGATTCCCAAATGGTGGGATTTCAGGTAGGAGCCACCATACCATGCTTCCAGGAAATCTACTTTTTAAAGCAACATAGAGATCACAGAGATGAGTCAACAGGTAAAGGAGCTTTCTGCCAAGTCTGAAAACTTGGCTCGGTCGCTGGAACCCAGATTCGAGTCACAACACCATATGGAAAGATCGGTATATAGGCTCACGACCCCCAAGACCAAGTTCTCAGCACAAAGGATGTGTATTTGTCCTAGAGGGACAGAGGACAAGGAAGAAGAGACAAACACAGGAGACAGAGGACAAGGGAGAAGAGGCAGGGATATTTGTTCCAGCAGGACAAAGGACTGGCTCTGGATGGGAGACAGACAAGACCCATAAAAAATGGAGGTTTATAAAGGTAAGTGTGGAAACCCTGTGTTAGGAGATAAAGTGTTTAATTTTAATTGAGTATGCTAATTAGATGAGCTAAAGGGGGATTCTGAAGGCTGGACTTCAGTACTTTGATAGCAGGACCTTGGTGGCTAGCTTTTGGAATATAATCTAATGGCGTGAAGGCAAGGCAGACACAGAATGGGGGAAAAGTGCAAGGCCTGCCAGAGCCACAAGCTCCAGTGGCTAGTGTCACTTTACCAAGTGATGGAAAGATTGACTCCTGCAAGTTTCCCTCTAATTTCCCTATGTGCATTGTGACCACGTGTGTTGCCTGCAAATATATACACATTAAATAAATAAAGTTTTAAAAGGAACTGGAACCTTTCCATCCTGGTGTACCGCTCCAGACTGAGGAGCTTCCAATATTCTATGTCTCTCTTGCCACTTAAGCAGAACCATAGGACAAAGACATGCCATTAGGAGGCAAAGGTGGATGACAGGGATCGTTCTAACTTTCAATAGTTGTTGCTTCCCTGAAGTGCTGGGAATGAAACCCAGGGCCTTACCCATGAGAGACAAAAATGCATCACTGAGCTACACCCTCAGCTCCCAATGGGGTTTATAAGAACTCAGGGGAGAGGAGTCTGTGATGGCTCAGAAGGGTGGGCTATGGCAGTCTTAGGGTAGGAGCTGAAACTGTAGGAGAAAAAGCAGCTTCCTCCCTCACAGTCTAGAGGGCCACATTAGAGTAAGGGTCTGAAATACAATAGGTGGAACCAAAGTCCAGTGTTTACATAAACTCCAAGAACACTACGGACAGTGATTACGGGCACTACTTCTTATGCAACAACCCACAATATGTTACGATGGTGGCTCCTACCTATAGTCTCAGCACTAGGAAGGCTGAGGCAGGAAGATTGTGGCCAAGTTCAAGGCCAGCCTGGGCTACATAGTGAGGTCAGAGTCAGCCTGAGCTGCAATGTGAGATTCTTTCTCAAAACAAATGTTAATTAATAATTAAAATACAAAATATGAGGTGACCCGGGAGAGCAGTAGGCACTGTGACAGGCAGCCTGATTACCCCTCCTCATTTAAAGCACACGAATCTGCCACCCTCTCCTAGATTCAATATGGTGCCCATAGCATAGGTGATTCATCCCCATGACACATCGGTGCAGCTTCACTCCCTTGCTGCATTGGCTAGGAGGAAGCATGGAGGTGGAGTGGACTCTCAGCAAGACCACAGCCCCAGGTTCTTAGCAGCACCACTGTGACAAAAAGCACACGATCTAGTATTGCAATGAAAATGTGACCCCAAGAGAAGAGGGTCCCATGCTAGTCCTCTGGGCAGGTGCCTGCAGGGCACAGTGCAACACTCTATGAAGCCTGTCTATGTGGGCCTTCCCCCTCTCTGCTCTTCCAGTGGCAAGGGCAACTGTATATCAACCATGAATGCTGATGTTACTACCTTTGTAAACAACTCAATGATATATTTCAGGAAACATTCTAACACTAGTTTTTTTTTGTTTGTTTGTTTTGTTTTGTTTTTAAAGCTTTTATTATTCTGGTAGAATAGCCATGACTGGTCTAAACTATAATTGCTTAAAATTTATTTTTTAACAAAGGCTGTTTAAAAGAACACTAGATGGCACTATGAGAGCATTAACATAAACCTGTACCAAGCACAAAAACACTAAACCAGAAGGATTCTGGCACTCTGAGCCAATTTATGTATCAATCCCAAACACATGGGAAACCACTCCAGAATTCCTGTCTTTTCAGCAAAATTAGCTGCTCATCACTGGAAACAGTGACAAACAGTTCATTAGGAAAACACCACACTTGCTGTTGTAAATTTATAAAATATGCAGGCATCTGGCTCATGGTAGGGTTGTGAGTTTTTTTTTTTTTTCCAGTATTCTGCATGCTGAAGGTCAATAATGTCTCCCTTACAGCACCAGCAGGAGACAGTTATATAGGCTCTCCCATCTTTGGGCTACCGTCAGGGCCTGGGGGAGGAGTAAAGCAGGTATCCGCAGCTGGGAAATTGCTGGATAGTAGAACTACCATGAAAGCTGCAGAATCTTATGGGATGCAGAGTTTAATAAAAAGCAGATGTTAAGAACCAATGCAAGAGTCCTCTGTATTTGCTGTGCAGTCCACCTTTTACTTCCTCCAAGCCAAGGTCCATTGGGAGAACCATTTTCTTCTGAGGCCTCAAGAAAAACAGATGCACAGCTTCCCTTCCTCTGGGGACTTCTCAGATGTCAGGATGATACACACAACCTGGGTACATTTATCTTAATAATCACCACAAGGATACATTCCCTTAAAAAATTATAGAAGCCCATAGACAAAATTCTGAAAAAGAGACTGGTGGAGGCTGAGTGTGCAAGACCCTGCAGGGTTTCATGTCTAAATCACAAAGCTTAAAGCAATGGAGGAAGACAGGGAAGTAAACTATCTATAAACCTGACTTTGAGGAGATTCAACATATTTTTTTTTTTTCCTTTTTCAAAATCATCCTTTGCTGTGCTGGGGAATAAACTCAGGTTCTCATACACACCAGGCAAACACTCTACGTTGTCCCTGAGACTTAGCAACTTCTAAACCTGTGCTCTGGAATAATCCTTCTGTACACTGTAAATTATGCTGTAATTGGTTTAATAAAGAAGCTGACTGGCCAATAGCTGGACAGGCTAAGGTTAGGTGGGAGAACCAGACTAAGGACACTGGGAAGAAGGACAAAGTTCTAGAGCCATCAGCCAGACGCAAAGGAAACAAGCCACGTGGACAACAAGTGTACAAAGTGAGGGAACAAGCCCTGAGCCACCTGGCCGAAAATAAAGGAATAGAAATGGGTTAATTTAAGTTGTATGAGTCAGTAATAAGCTGAGCTATCATAACCGAGCATTTATATCAAGCTTCCATGTTGGTTATTTAAGAATTAGCAGGCAAGAAAGAAAAGCCCGCCTACAGTAGTGGATTCGGTAATCTATCAGTTCTAACAGGAGACCCTGACTTTTTCTTTTGCCATTTAAATCTAGAATATGACAAGGGACTTTGAAGCTTGGAAAAGGTTTACAGGGAGCATGGAGCGGGCCTTAAATGATTATCTGACTGCCATTGGTTCTTTGCCTGTTGGTTCTGCCATCTCCAGCTACCCTCTGCATCTCCATTCAGATTCACCTAAGCCAGTCTTATTTGGGGACCAGTTCTTGCAGGCTTCTATCGAAAGCACAGGGAGACAGGCAGGTGAGGCAAAGCCTATTTCTCAAAAATAGATGATATACCTTTAAAGTCCCATGCCCTTCAAGTGTGTAGCTTTGGGCTGGACAGTAAGCCCAGGAAAGGGTAGGGAACTGAAACAGCGGGATCATCAGGGGTTTAGGGCCACCCAGTGCTACATAGTGAATCTGAGACCAACCTGGGTCACTAAGTGCGTTTGAGGCAAGCCTGTGTTACTACATGAAACTCTGTTTCAAAACAACCAACAGATGAAACAAACAAGGCATGGCCTGGGGGCAGTGAAAACAAGCAAGCAGTTCTGGAGCTGGGCTCTAAATTCTTTGGGAATAAATATTTAGATTTTACATTAAAAAATTTTTTTCTTTGTAAAATTTATTTTATGTGTGTGAGTATTTGCTTGCACATATATTCATGTGTACCTTATGCATATCTGGTGCCCAGGATTCAGAGCGTCTGGTCCCCTGGAACTGCAGTTACTGATGGTTATGAGTCACCATGTGGGTTCTGAGAACTGAACCGGGGTCCTCTACCAGAGCCACAAGTGCTCTTAATCACAGAGCTACCTCTCCAGTGCCCAGTATTAACATTTCTACTTAACCAACAACGTATTTTTCTGTACCCCTTCCCCCATAAAAACAGAGAAGCAGACGCACAAACCCAGACACAGGGCCCCTTCCTCACCTTCTGTGCATTCGCGGCTCTCCGCTCCTGCTTGGCCTTCATCTCAGCCAGCAGCCCACTGCCCATCACCTGCACATAGCGCCGGCCACTCTGTGGGCTACCCCTGCTGTCGCTGCGTTCAACCCTGCTGTCACTGCGCTCAACCCTGCTTGCTTCCTCTGACAGACCCTCCTCCAGGGATTCTGGAGTCTTCATCTCTTCTGTGCGTTCGGCAGCACCATTGTGTTCAGCTGCTTTTATGTCCTTCCTGGTGGTGTCCACTGGCGGACTCCGAATTGCCCCCTTTGGGGATGAGAACTCTTCTGGCATCAGGACCGTGGGTGGCCGCTCAGTTCTGGAGCGCGATTTGATTAGGTTGAGAAAGCCACTTCTCCTAGAATCCCGTTTTTTCTTCTCATCTCCTTCACCCAGATCGTGGGCATCCGAGCAGCGTGTGGATGACCTCCTGCACCACAACCAAAATCACAGAACTGATTGGCTTGGTCATGAAAACAGGTCCCTTGAGGAGTTAGTCAATGAGCATGAAGGTGACCCCTGCATAAGCAGCTACATTCTGTAGCATTTAAAATGTTAAGCCTGTGTTTAGAGACGGAGGAATTTAGGCTACTGGTGGGGTATGAGCGAATTTGAAGGAGTCAGGCAGGATTGAGGACAAACCTTTGTAATGGTTAAGGGCTTAAGTGTGAACTTCTCCTAGACTGGCTTGAGCCATAATTGGGCAACTACCCTGTTTAATTGGGGGTTACTGGAAAGGGCTTCCTTGACCACCTGTAATTATTAGGTAATTGGTGAAATCCAATATATTTGCTCAGTCCTGGCAAATATTTGGGTCTTTCCTTAAGTGGAATAAATTACTAGAAGAAGCAACAAAGGAAAAGACGTGGCCAGGGTGCTGGTATAATACCTGTTACTCTAGTATTTGTTAGATGAAGCAGGAGGATCAGGAGTTCAAGGCCAGCCTCAGCTATATAAAATTCAAGGTCAGGTTGGGCTATAGGAAACCTTATATCTAAAACAAAACTAGACAGTATACGTTTAAATTTTAGGATAGGTTTCCAGGAAGAAAAAAAAAATGAAATTTGGGAAATGGGTGAAATGAAAAAACAAAACGAGTGCCCCAAGGAATCTGCCACTCAAAGCTAGAGATGGGATTCCCCGCCCCCCCCCAGCTCCCCAGAAACGCCATCAAAACTAGAACCAAGGAGAAAATGAACAACAACCAAACACAAAAACCACACAGGCTAGAATAGGCAACACCCTATTGGAAGCCCAAATAGCGCAAAATAGTTTCATGGATCTAAACAAGGGAAACCTAAACTGGAGGCCCAGGAGCAGCTAGAACCTCAGTGGCTGCAGACTGCTAACCAGCCACACTTCTACAGAGCAGAGTGGCTGGGGGGGGGGGGGATAGGGAGGAATGGCTGGAAACCAATTCACCAAGTATTATTTCCTCTTTCCAAGCCACAGGGTCAACAATGTCCAGCCCACCCCAAAATCATTGTCCACAGAGCCAACCTGAGAAACAGTGCGACTGAGGGTGTGTTGCACAGGCACCAAACAGAAATAAAAGCAAAATGAGACACAAGTGGTAAGAGACTGGGAGAGAAATGATGAGAATTAACAGGCTAACCAAGGAAATACCAGATGGAATAGAGGAAGTTAGTTTGTCAAAGTGTAAAGAGGAAATAGAAGAGATTTACAAAAGAAACAAACAAACAAAAAATACTTCAGAACCAAAGAACATGAATTTTAAGAGTCTAACACTTGATGTGTTACAGCAAACTGGATAGACAAACCAGCATCCCCCTCTGGAATACAGCATCATAAAATTTTTGTACCCTGAAACTCAATACAGACACACTCCAATGTTTCCTGAGGAGAGAGAAAACAAAACCATGTCACAAAGAATCAGGACTCAAGAAGACACTGGGTTCTTATGAGAACTCTTGAAGATAGAAAATTAGGGAACAGTGTTTTCAGAATTCCAAAGCAAAACGTATGCCAAGCCCCAATTTCATACCCAGCAACACTATCACTCAAAATGGAAGATCTTAACCTTTCTAGAAATGCAGTTAACACTCCATTTCTTAGAAAGTAACCACAGGAGGAAATCTATCAAAATGAGGGTGTAAATCTCAGACTCTGAAAAGCAGATAAGACGCAAGGATGTGCTGAAGGGAATCCACTTGCACAGGATGAAGGGACTGTCTTCCCCACAACACCAGGTGTGAGATGTGTCCAAGAAGACAAGATGGAGAGCATGAGAGAGAACTCAGATATTTGTGCTTTTATAGGAGACTTAAAGAACTGAACAGATGAGAGCATTGTGGGAAAATTAAGTAAACAAAAAGGGATGGATAGCTTCCAGGAAAACAAACAAACAAACAAACCAAAAGCCCAACCCTATAGAAAAGGAAGTGTGACCACAGCATGCCATCAGGTAAATCAGGTGTGGATACTTACAGGGCTAGAATGAAGCCCACTGAAGCAATCATAGAATAATGAGTGAGCAAACATTATCATCAAATGAAAAAGTCAATAGAAAGAAAGAATTCAGTAGGGTCAGAGAGTGGACAGGATACACTATCATCCTCTGTAGCCAGATGTTGACAGAACTAGTATATGAAATTGAAAAATGAAAAATAGGAAAAAGTATTTTATTAAAAAAGAGAAGGCAAAGTCAACAGTTAATGGAATAAAAGCCAGTTGCCTCTGGGGAGCAGGGAGTGGGAAAAGAAATGGGTTTTTTTCTAGTTAAAGCCTTGCAGCTCACTTGACATTTAAAACTATGAGCACATAACACTGAATTTCAAACTTTCTTTGCACTAATTTATGATGTTTTACCTAATACCATACCCTAAAATGTCTAACTGACAATCTATTTTCATAGGAAAACATAGTTTAAAAAATTAAACTTTTTGTAGGTCCCATCAACAGCTGATGAAAGTTGAGCTATCTAGTCTTGCACACAGAAACATGACCAAATTCTGGACTAACACCTTTTGGGAAATAGATGTTACATATTACAAATACACCCAGATATCATTCAAAGAAAAATGAAGAACAAAGCTTCATGATCAAGAGAGGAAGTCCGGTGGGAAAGGTGTGACAGAGTACTCAGTCCACATCCAATGCCCACACATTTCTAAGTTAAAGAAGAGCCAGCAATGGTATCTGTAACTATACAGAGACAGGTCAATTGTCTTGATGTGTTTTTAGCAATGACTGTTGGTCAATAACTACCATAGCTGGTACGAACATTCTAAAGATCCTGTATGTGGCAGTGTACACCTGGAATCCCAGCTGAGGCAGGAGGATGACTGAGTGTATAAATTTTCCCTGGACTGCTTAGTGAATTCCAGATCAGCATGGGATTACACCATGACATTGTCTCAAAAAGAAAATAAAATAGCAAAGTAAACAATAAAAAATAAAATATAAAACAATAAAAGATTCTAAAGTGATAAAAAAGAAAAATAAGACCCAGGTATTGATCTTGAACAGTATTCTGGGTGAGACCGGCAACAATTCATCAAGAGAGAATTTTCCATTTTGCTCTGTTTGTATTGGTGTTTCTTGACCCTCTTGAAAATGTAGCGCTCTAATCCTTGTATTATAAAACAACCAAAACTGAAATGGACTCTTGAAGATGCACACTACAGATAGATGTGTATACAGGGGAAGGCCCGGAACCAGCAGGAATTATTTTTTTGGGGAATGAAGTATTATAGCATTATAGGAAACTATCAAAGAATAAATGACATATTGGTGGGTGTTGAAAGATAGAATTCTGCCAAGTTATGCTATGTTAGTCTGCAAGACTTGTGTCAATGACAATCAATAATTAGGTGTTAAAGCTTACAACATCTCTAAGCTCCATTGCCATGGATATAAGACTTAACTTATTTCTACTTTAGCATCCTGCAGAGAATAGATAAGACTCATCAATCACTGCCTAGGCAAGCCCTTCCACAGCTCTCCTGCCGGCCTGCCCTCAGCTATCAGCAAGGTTTAATGCATTCCTGAATTTTGTCTCTAAGCTGAAGCAGTCTTCAACAAACATAACCAAACTTGGAGTCTGTTCTGAGATATATCAGCTTTTAGTAACAGATTGAATAACTTCAGGAAAATCATATATAAAGGCAGGTGTATTTTAAGTTGAACAATATAGTTCAGGCTGGTCTGGAATTCACTATGCATTCCAGGATGACTTCATTTATGGTCATCCTCCTGCTCCAGTCTCTGGGTTCTAGGACTATAGGAATGTGCCACTGTGCCTAGCTGAAATTAAAGTATCATTGAACTCTCTTCTAAGAAAGCAACACCCTAGTAATAAGGAAATGTAGAGAAAAGTCATTAGAGAACACAGTAGTTACTTTTCCTCTTGTAATAAAATTCCCAGAGACAAAAGCTATTTAAGGGAGGATTTGCTTTGGTTCACAGTTCCAGAAAACAGCCCATCATGGAGAGGCAGTCATAGGTACAGTGTGAGTTGCACATCTACTGGAATGAAGTAGCATGCTCAGCTGGCTTTTTCCTTTCTATGTAGTCTGGAAATGGATGCAATACTGCTGCATCTCCCCACTCCAATTAACATAATCTAGATAATCCTTTATAGGCATGCCTAGAGGCTTTTCTTGTATACTAGGTGATCAAGAGCCTGTCAAACGGACAATACCAACCACAACATCGGGTAAGTCCAAGGGCCCTGCACCACTTCTCCTGTCACTTTATTGCCCAATTTGCCAACAGATCAAATTATGAATAAGAAAGTTCAAAGGATGCTCACTGCCTTGAAAAAGAATCTTCCAGGTGAATATAAGAAACACCTCTGGATTAGCAGAAGTTTGGCTGGATGTGATGTGGACTGCTATGGAACAGGTCCTACAGTCCCTTGGTTCAGCAGATCAGTGATGAGAGCTTGAAACTTTGAATTTCTAACAAGTTCCCTAACCATACCAATGATGCTTTGTTAGAGACCACTTTTTTACAAATCCAAATGGTAAATCTCTTGTATAAGACTGTGATGCCTATATAAATTATAACCATTAGCCATTTAGATGTAAATGAAATACTGTTTTTAATGAAATGACTGGACACTTACTTGCCATCCATTTTAGTCACTTTCTTGGTGAAAAATTCATCTACACCTTCATCCACTCTGCCCATGAGGCCGTTCTGTTCTCCATCATGGGGGACGATGCTGGTGGTACAGATCTGCAAAACAAACATGACCTTACTCCAAAGTCAACTCAATATATCTCAGTTCTATTGGATTCAACAACCTACAACATGGCCACGACTCACTCCAATAGGGATTTACAGGAACAGAGGCCAGGTGTAGAACCATAACCTAGTAAGGACAAAACAGGTTTATAGATATGCATGATGTTGGTGATTGTGAGGGACAGGTTTTAATGACAGCTTGGGTTGGCTGTAGATGGGCACAGGTTTTCAGGCAGTCTCTGCTAGTAGCCCTGGCTGGCCTGGAACTCATTATGTAGATCAGGCTGGCTTTGAACTTGCAGCAATCTTTTTGCTTCAGCCTCATTATTGCTGGGATTACAGGCATGTATCACCACATTCACCCATGAACCAGGTTTACAAGATGTACTGTAAACAATGCATAATGGGGGATTCATATGGCTGGACCAAATAGACTGTGAAAAGTTCTTTTTTGCAAAATGCTACAAAGTTTAAGAACAAAAAGAAAGAAAGAAAGAAAGAAAAAAAGAAAGAAAGAAAGAAAGGAACAAAGAAAGAAAAAACAAAAAGCAAAAAACTAAAAAAAAAAAAGAACAAAACAAAAAACCAAAACCCAAAACAAAAACAACTATAATCTCAGTACCAGGGAAACAAGAGGATAGCTAGGAGTGGCTTCCTTTAGCTGCCTCACCAATCACTCCCCTTCTTGATCCAATAAATAAAGGGTTATATATTTTTTTCATTCAATTTCTCCCCTCAGCCCTTTTTGTTTTCTCTGCTTTGAAAACAGAATTCATAGCTGGCCCCCGAGTTCCATGATAGCATGCACGGAGAACACGGAGGCTGCAGAGATGGAGGAGGAAGTGCAGCTCTCTCTAGGTACAGCAGCTTAAAGGGCTAGGCTGCAGCTCCCAGCCCCTCCGTGCACCCCTGACATTTTAGAGGTAAAGAACAGAGGAGACCGGTTAAGAGACACCCAGCAGCTTTAAAAGGAGGTGCTTTAAAGACAGCAGTTAAAGGGAAGCTCAGGTTGAGCTAGCCTTGGGAGAGCAGTCAAAACCCAGACTATGATGAAGAGAATCAGGACAAGAGAGTTTAAGGCCAAAAGCACATGCTGCTAACGCTCATTTTCAAGCTAAAGGAAAAGCTGTGATGTGATTCAAGTATCTTCTGTCAACCACAATCAGTTTCAGATGCAAAGAGCAGCAGGGCTGTTGGAGAGGGAGAGCAGGGATCACCCTGCACGGGCAGGACCACACTCGCCTCAGGGAGCTGTCTATCTTCCTCAGATAAGTAAGTCACTGGTGCTGTGCACCTCCAATGAATGTGTACTCTCTGAAGGTTAGTTTGTGAATGACTAGCAGGTAAGTGGGTGCTGGGAGGTTAAAGGCAGTTCAAACCACCTTCTTGTCTGCCTCACCAGGGTGACTGAGCAAAACACTCAGGGGCATAGTGGACACCTGGATTTCACATGGCTTTATAAACCAGAAGGAAGTGTGAGCAAACGTGCCCAGAGAGAACACCATAGGAAGCAGAGTGAACACACACCTTCCATGTATGTCTCCCACAGCAACAAAGAAGGAAGACAGACACCTAAAGGAAACATCAGAAATCACCAAAGGAAGGCAATGCAGGAGAATTCGAAATGCACTTGGGAGGCAGAGGAAAACTGAAAGGCAGTTTTTTGAGAACAGACCATGAGACAGCTACACAATGGATGAAAGACATTAAAATGTATCAGGAATGGGGCTGAGCATGGTGGCTCAGGCCTGGAATCTAGTACTGGGAAGGGTAAAGTTGGAGGATTGCTGGATTTGAGGCTAGCCTAGGAACCAAGCACAATCTTGAAATCAGAAGAAAAATTAACTAATTAAAAACAGAGAATGAGAAAAGGAGACATAGTTAACAATAGTTAAGAGCAATTCAAATTCTAATTCTATATAAACGATCAATTTGATCAAATGGACAATATTCCATGAAAATATAAATTACTAAAATGGCCTCAAGAACAATTTGAAGGACTATCACACATGTCTAAGAGAACACATATACACTTTAATAAGTGGGAATAAAAGGGGGTAGATTAAACTACTCTTGTTTTTACAAAGACTTTTGCATGAGCACAGGGGACAGTTAAAGTGCAGAGGGCAGATGCTTATAATTGTCAGCCACAAGATAGCTGGCAGGGATGGAGAGATGGCTCAGAGGTTAAGGGCACTGGGTACTCTTGCAGAGATCCTGAGTTCAGTTCCCGGCAACCACATGGTGACTCACAACCACCTATAATGAGATCTGGCCCTCTCTTCTGGCAAGTGGGCAAACATGCAGGCAGAACACTGTATACATAATAAGTAAATAAACCTTAAAAACAAACAAACAAAAGGCTGGCAATTTGACATTATTGAAGTCTGATCTAAGTGTGAATTTTTGTTAATTTTTTTTTTTTTAAATTATAAGCTGGGCTGTAGCACACTGGGGAGTTCTCACTCTCCTAGCATGTGCCAGGCCCTGGGTTCCATTTCCATCACTGAAGAAAAAAAAAAGGATCATCTGTGTTTCATTTCATACTGTGAACTGAAGCATGGGAGAAGCTGCCTCTCTGTGTTAAAGATCCTGCATGCTGCCAGACTTCAGGTGGACACAGCACGGCAACTGGAGAGGGAACAGTTCATCTTGTCAACTTGACCAAATCTAGATTCAGATAGGAGACACACTACTGGGTATGTTTGGAGGGAGTTTGCAGGAAGGGTTAACTGGGGCAAAGCTGCACCATGAGAGTAGGCAACGCCTTTCAATGGGTGCTTCATATACAAAGAGGTCTGAGGGAAGGCAGTTTTGTCTGCATTTGCTTCCTCTGGTGAGTGTGTCTACTGATGCTTCTTCTGCCACCACAGACACTGCCAGCTTCCACTCTCATCAGACTCCAGCTTCTTCAGCTTTCCAACATGGACTGAACACCTGAGGCACCCAGCTTCATGGGCCGAGCAGCTACAAGGTTCTCAGCCTCTCCAGCATGGGCCTCGCTGAGCTGCCCAGCCCCTCCTCTGTATGCCATCCCAGTAAATCCATTATGCATAGCTATGCAGTCTGTTCCCCCAGAGAACACAGATGGAATGTTGATGGTCAAGAGACAAAGCTGTTTTTTTCCTCTCTTAGTCCCTTTGGATACAGTGACTGTCCACCTCAGTATCTACCCCAATAACCCTCATGTCTTTTCAAATGTCGCCTAAGCCTGACCCCACGAGCCTCTACATGCTCTGAAGTTGAGAATGCTGGAAAACCTCCTTAATGAACCTCTCTCTGTGCTTTTGTGAATACAAGGATTTGTGACCTTCTTTCCTGTAACTTCAAAGCTTTTCTATGGTGGCACACAAGTCTGTGTTCCTAGGAACAGCCACTCATATGTGGTTTACTTCCTTAAAGGAGAGTTAGCATTGTTATACTGACAGTGTTTATGTAATTTTGTTGTTAATTTTGGCACAAAAATCAGAGTGACAGCATGACTAGCTTTGGCTCAGTGATAGTGGCATGTGGGCATCTGAAACAGCCTCGGCTTTCAGAATTCTGATCTCTAGGGTAGCTCAAGGGTGCAGTGAAGGTCAAAGGCAGGCTTCAGACATGCCAAGATCAACTCGGGACAAGCTGGTTCTACCCACAGTCCTGGCAAAAACCCTGGTGGTCACATCAGATAACTGTCGAGACTAAACACTAGTGATGAAAGCAGCCAAAACTATTTTATTCAGTTAGATTTATCTCTAGCTTTTTGCTTCTTCCTGTTGCTTACCTGGAAAATATCAATGATCCCTAATAAGGCTGTTGTAAGAGACAGTACTCAGGAGACAGTGAGCCTTGAGAAATCATATGATAATTAATGCACCTTCACTGTATATCCAAGAACAACCATACTCCTCTGCTCCTGTGGTTCTTGTTATTATTCTTATTTTCCAGGGGCTTCCTATAGCCCAAGATGGCTTCCAGCTTGATGTGTACTGAAGGATGTCCTTGCGGTCCTGATCCTCCTCCCTTAGCTTCACAACCTCTAGGATTACAGCAAGGAACCACCATGCCTCATTCTTTTTTAGTTTTTTAAACTCAGGAAGAAAGAATAACTTGCACATGACTGTGGGGTTTGGTCCCCAGAATCATAAAAGCAAGATAAATAAGCAAATGCACAAACCCACAAAATGTTTCCCTCCAAGGGCACAGAGACACTGAACCCATCATTTCACATTCAAGTCATGCTGCTAATGATTGCAGAAGTGACAGCCAAAGAGGGACCATTTACACAGCAACAATCTAGAGTACAAGTCTGAGCCAGCGTAGCGGAAGGTGTCTCTTTCTTTATCTGATAAGCCCCTCTCCCTTACTTAAAATACCAATAAGTGCATATATATATATATATATA